TAGTTACAGTCTACCTGTCATGGTGTTTTATAGCGAGGTTCTTAGTTACAGCCTGCTCATGATGGTGTTTTATAACAAGGTTCTTAGTTACAGCCTTCTTCTTATGATGATGTTTTATAGCAAGGCTCTTAGTTACAACCTTCTTCTTATGATGGTGTTTCATAACAAGGTTCTTAGTTACAGTCTACCTGTCATGGTGTTTTATAGCGAGGTTCTTAGTTACAGCCTGCTCATGATGGTGTTTTATAACAAGGTTCTTAGTTACAGCCTTCTTCTTATGATGATGTTTTATAGCAAGGCTCTTAGTTACAACCTTCTTCTTATGATGGGGTTTCATAACAAGGTTCTTAGTTACAGTCTACCTATCATGGTGTTTTATAGCGAGGTTCTTAGTTACAGCCTGCTCATGATGGTGTTTTATAACAAGGTTCTTAGTTACAGCCTTCTTCTTATGATGATGTTTTATAGCAAGGCTCTTAGTTACAACCTTCTTCTTATGATGGTGTTTCATAACAAGGTTCTTAGTTACAGTCTACCTATCATGGTGTTTTATAGCGAGGTTCTTAGTTACAGCCTGCTCATGATGGTGTTTTATAACAAGGTTATTAGTTGCTGTATGTCCAAGATTGTGTTTTATAAGAGGAATATTAGTTAGAACCTGACCTGCATACTGTTTTATATCAGGAATATAAGTTATAACAGGATTCTACTTAACCCGAACTCCATGGTCCCGTACAATTGAGAATTTGTCGGGACACATAAGATTTGATCCCCCGGGTACCAAATACACACCACAAAATGCCCAATATGCAAGGCAAGCACAAGTACTTTGCTTTGAACTTTGTATCATAACAAACTAAACAACATACAGTTTTCATACAGCTGTCCACAATCAACTTCTAGCAGGTTTCATCAATGACAATAAATTGCATGAAAATAAAGCCACATGATTATCCCTTTCACCTCAGGTAGGGCAAAGTGCATGTCACAACCTTTCACAGAGTTACATTTAAAATCTAATTAAACTACTTTATTATCAATATATATATATATATATGAATATACTCAGCATCAGAAGGTAGATAATATAGTATTAAAGACAGTTGAAAGCCAAAAAAAAAGACCTAGTTAAGTACTTTATTTCTTGTTTCTCATGTGTATTCTTTATTTATCATTATAAAATTAACAAAAAATGTAAAAATTGAGAACATTTAGGTTAGCTAAAGTAAAATAAATAATTATTTTTTATGAGGTATGCTAGTGAGTAGTCTGTTTGTTATGTAAATCAATACCATAATGTGAGCTGCACATTCATCACGTGATTTGTAATTTATATGGCATGAATAATAGTTAGACACAGTTTAAAGGGCAATAAAATTTAAGTATAAATAGATATATATACTATTACATGCTTTAAGTTACTTAGGATAAACAATTCTTGTTATCTGTTAGAATTTCCAGAAAGAAAATAGTGGTAATTTATAATTATTTCCTAATTTTTTTATGGTGGTTGGTCGAATCAACTGACCCCATATAGAGTTAGAATAAAGAAAATAACAGATAAAATATAAGGCTTTCTGAAAAACGAAACAAAAAACATTTGATATTTATTTAGTCAGTTTTAGGGGTTATACAAATGATATTTGAAAATCTTTAGATGGAAAAAAAGTATTTTAAATCTTATCATGAAAATTAATTTTCTCTCATAAAGGGAAACAACATGCAGTATGAATTGTAAATAACTTTTTTCATTGACAGTGAAGTGGGGTTTTCTTTTGGGGGGGGGGCTGAAAATCTCACTGAGACTTGAACTAAAAGTTAAGAGTCCAGGACCTTTCACTGTGAAACCTTAGTGAGAACTCTGTATAACCTGACCAACATAGTGTTTTATAACAGGAATATTATTAATAACCTGCCCAACATAATGTTTTATAACAGGAATATTAGTTATAACCTGACCAACATAGTGTTTTATAACAGGAATATTAGTTATAACCTGACCATAGTATGTTATTCAAGTTATAAGCAATATTCCTGTTATAAAACACTATGTTATTCAGGTGATAACTAATATTCCTGTTATAAAACACTATGTTGGTCCAGTTATAACTAATATTCCTGTTATAAAACACTTTATTATAACAGGAATATTAGTTATTCCTGTTATAATACACTATGTTGGTCCAGTTATAACTAATATTCCTGTTATAAAATAGTATGTTATTCAAGTTATAAGCAATATTCCTGTTATAAAACACTATGTTATTCAGGTGATAACTAATATTCCTGTTATAAAACACTATGTTGGTCAGGTTATAACTAATATTCCTGTTATAAAACACTACGTTGGTCCAGTTATAACTAATATTCCTGTTATAAAATAGTATGTTATTCAAGTTATAAGCAATATTCCTGTTATAAAACACTATGTTGGTCAGGTTATAACTAATATTCCTGTTATAAAACACTATGCTATTCAGGTTATACACTATGTTGGTCAGGTTATAACTAATATTATAACAGGAATATTAGTTATAACTGGACCAACATAGTGTATTATAACAGGAATATTAGTTATAACCTGACCAACATAGTGTTTTATAACAGGAATATTAGTTATAACCTGAATAGCATAGTGTTTTATAACAGGAATATTAGTTATAACTGGACCAACATAGTGTATTATAACAGGAATATTAGTTATAACCTGACCAACATAGTGTTTTATAACAGGAATATTAGTTATAACCTGACCAACATAGTGTTTTATAACAGGAATATTAGTTATGGTTTGTCCAACATGGCATTTTATAAGAAGGGTATTAGATATATAGTTTTATATCAAGATTATTAATTACAGCTTGCCTAAGGTAATATTGATTTAAGACTGTCAAGGATGATCAGTTATTTTTTTGATTTTTTCAAGCTGGATAACTAGTATTACATTTTTTATCTAGAATTACTAGTTACTATTACTTCAGGATAGTGGTTAAGGACTGAAATTATGTATTACATAATATCCAGAAAGGTATTTTATTGTTGAAGTTTATATTTCCATTCTGTTCAAGATGGATGTATTTTTGGTGTATTAAACTGCAAACCAAAGTGCTGTATTGTTAGAAATTTTATCGGAGTATTTAAATATATATTATATGCATTTTGTGAAATATAAGTGTTGATGTGCTGTTTCACCATAGAATTAATTTTTTTAAGGCAAAATCACTAGGCCTTTTGGATAGAGGATCTAGAGGGCGTGGGGGACGTGGTTCAGTGTTGAGAGGAAGGAGTTTCCGTGGAAGAGGTTCTCGGAATCTTACATCAGTAGATCACCGACCGAGGAAAATTATTGTATCTGGGACTGAAGAAGTTAAAAAAGATGATATGCACATGCATTTTGTGGTAGGTTTTACACTCTCCTGTTTATTTATCATGATGTACAGTTGTGCTATATCTTATAGTATTTCAAAAGCTAGAAATGTTGTTAAGTTGTCAAATTTTAATGTGTATGTTAGCAGTATTATCTATTCTTGGTGAGTAGTACTGAACTTGATAGTAATTGTATGTTCAGTTTTAGTTCTGATGTTAGGAATATTGTCTATTATTGATGAGTAGTACTGAACTTTGATAGTAATTGTATGTTCTGTTTTAGTTTGGATGTTAGGAATATTGTCTATTATTGATGAGTAGTACTGAACTTTGATAATAATTGTATGTTCTGTTTAGTTTGGATGTTAGGAATGTT